GTTTTTAATAGTTCATTTAGTTGTTTTTCGTTCTCACCGATCAAGACTACATCATCAGCCCAGAAAAGGCAACCGATTATGGTATCAAAAATATTTATTCCTAGCTTTCTATGCATGATCATTTTATTTAGTTCATTAATATAGATTATGAATAATAATGGAGATAGTGTACACCCCTGTTTGACACCTTCTTCAATTTCAAATAGATCAGTAACATAATTACCTGCAGATACTTTACATTTAACGTTAACATATAGGTTTTTAATTATGTTTAGGAGGTTACCTCCTATACCGATCCTTTCGACCGCAGTGAATAATCCATCTCTCCAATGGGGAGAAGTTGTTCTCCAGCTGTTAGTTGGCCTACATGTTGAATTTGCGTGTAGTGTATGCTATCATACCGCTTCCTTTTTTTAGGGGGGTGGGGGGAGTTAGCTGAATAGCCTGTACGACCGTTGTCACGACTATTTCTTTTCACTTTTTTGGACTATTATCTATTTAATTATTTATTGAAGAAGGGTACGTACGACAAAACAAAAAAAGTAACATTCTTTTAAGACAATCAAACAGCTTGTCGTACCACTGCTAAAACTTATAAAAAAAAAAATATGCCTGTAAGATTAAGGGCATTTTAAAAGTTTTACTGTATTATAATTCTATTCTTTTGTTGATTATTTTAATGTACTACTGAAGATTGGTTTATGTTACAATTCTCGCTTATAAAAACAAACAACAATAATCGGTTGATTTAAAATAAAGAAACTTATTATTTTTTTTCTTGGAATCAACATCATTCATTATAGGGTCCTTTGTTTTATTATTATTGTTATTATCATTATATGTAGTGTAATGGTTTCTTTAATTGATCGACCTAATATTACTATCCTCAATAATTTAATTATTGTGATCGATCCTTATAATCGTTGATGTTGGGCAACTCGGACAGCGTCGTATGATTGTTATAGATTTTTTTTCAATAATGTTTGTAGGCCTATTGATAATAGGCCAAAACCACTCCCACCTGAATTTTCTAGCAAAATAAAAAGCTTGGAGGCGGGATTTCTTTTTTTTTTTTTTAATAAAAATAGAAATTGTCCAGGAAATACTAATCAAATTAAGTATAGACCTATTTTAAGTGAATTATAACGATGGTTTCACCAACCTATTGAAAATGATTAATTTTAACACATTAATTTTGATTAGTGATGTTGTATAATTAAAAAAAAAAAAAAACAAAGGGGAAAAAAAGCCACCCCTCCCCATCTAAAATGGTGTTGTGATGCGGCGCTAAACAAGTAATTTCTTCTATTTGGTCTTATTGGAAGCTATAAAAAAAAAATATTAACACGAGATACCGGTAATTAATATATCTTATGTATAAATGTTGGTTTATAAACTTTTATCTAAAAAAATCTAATTATGGTAAATGCCATAAACGCACGTATATTCTATATCTGGATGATACTGTTCAA